AAGGAGCGAGAAAATGAGTCGTTTTAAAATCTACAGGCAGATTGTTTTGAAAGGTGCTATTTTGCAGTGACATGCAGCGCTCATGATAAAGATCTGGCAGATGTACTCGCAAATTATATTAAAAAATGTTTAAAAATAATAGGCTCCTCTGCAGTCCTGGAAGCCATCCAGAAACCACCTGGGGATAGGGCTGTATGTGTGCAGATTATATAGAATGCCATATTGGTCGCAGTTATGTCTCCTGAAAGAACATTTGTTGTATCGCTGGGTGACATATACACTTCAATGAACCCAATAAAATATACGTTTTTCCCTTTTCAGACTAAGTGGTTTTAGTGTTGTATTAAGGCCAAGGCTCCTTGTTCTTCCCCAATTTTATTTAACCACTTGAGCTCCAGAGGATTTACCCCCCTTAATGACCAGGCCTCTTTTTGCTACTCAGCGCTGCACTAATTCAACTGATAATTGCGCGGTCATGCAATGCTGCACCCAAACGAAATTTACGTCCTTTTTTTCACACAAATAGAGCTTTCTTTCGATGGTATTTGATCATCTGTGCGCTTTTTATTTTTCACGCTATAAACAAAAAAAGGCCAAAAATTTTGAAGAAAAACAATATTTTTTACTTGCAGCTATAAAAAAATATATAGTAAACTCAAAGTTGGTTATAACTTTAGGCCAAAATGTATTCTGCTCCATGTTTTTGGTAAAAAAAAATCCCAATAAGTGTTTATTGATTGCTTTGTGTATAAGTTATAGCGTCTACAAACTATGGTATAAATACTGCAATTTACGCCATTTTTCTGCTATAAAGCGCTGCGCTAGTTTAACGGACAATTGCACGGTCATGCAATGCGGTACATAAATGAAATTTACATCCTTTTTTTCCCCAAATTGAGCTTTCTTTCGGTGGTATTTGATCGCCTGTGCGGTTTTTATTTTTTGCGCTATAAAAAAAAAAAATGCTGACAATTTTGAGGGAAAAAAACAATATTTTGGACTTTTTGCTATAAAACATGTCCAGTAAAAAAAAAATGCAAAAATCAAATTTAGTCATAAATTTCTGCCAAAATGCATTCTGCGACATGTCTTTGCTAAAAAAAAAAATAATCCGTGTAAATTAATTGGTTTACGTGAAAGTTATAGCGTTTACAAATGGCGGGAAAGATACTGGGATTTTTAGGGTTTTTTTATACTAATAATGGCGGCGATCAGCGAATTATGGCGGCGATCAGGGACTTATGGCAGCGACCAGCGACTTATGGCGGGACTGCGGGACTGCGGCGGACATTTTGACATTGGGGGGTACTGACTTGGGGTCACTGACATCCCCAAAAACACTAATACAGTGATCAGTGCAAAAAAAAAAACTGACACTGTACTAATGGCAATGGGGAGGAAGGGTTAACTTTATTTTGCAGGGAAGGGTTATAGGAGTGAGGGGAGTGTTTTACTAGGGGGCGGGGGTGTGTACTGGACGGGACAAGGCTGATCGAGAAAGAGAAATTGTTCTTTCTCGATCAGCTCATCCTCGAGCTGTCACGGAAGTGACAGACAGCACAGCTACTGCAGCTGTGCTCTCTGTCACTGTTTGCCGCCGATCGCCGGGACATAGCCGCTAAGGAGCAGCTGTGACCCGGCGACTGACATCTGCGGCAGAGAACCGCGGGACAAATAGGGTGGCGGTGCGCCTCGCGCGCGCCCCCTATTTGTTTACAAAACACACGTCTTAAAACGTGGTTTTGCCTGTGAGTGCCGCCCTGCCGCCGTATATGTACAGTGGCTGGGCGGCATGCGGTTAATTTTTCTGTGTTATATTGAACTGCATGAGGTTATTATTGATCAATAGTATGCTGAAATCTAGTGGAGGTTTTGGGCCACTATAACTTGTTTACTAATTGGTTTTGGTTTCTCCCTCTGTCCTTTCTACCTGTTTAGTGCTAGTTAGTTCAGTCCTAGCTAGACCCTCTCCATTTCTTTTACGTTCTCTCTGCCAGTGTTAGTACTTTATATATATATAAAGTGCTAATATACTAAATAACACTAATAAATGAATAAATATTACTGTCAGGAACCGCCTGGCAGTGTCTCTAGCAGCCCACAGCACGGATTTCCTCAGGGCGCGGGGTCTAAGTCCCAGCCTGCTATTCACCAGGGCCCCTGATGGTGGGGATGGACTTGGTGCAGACTGGAACCAGGTCGCGACCCCCGAGTGCATCTGGCTGTGGTAGAGAGCACCGGCAGGGGACTTCGGGAATGGAGTCTGATGGGAAGAGGTAGGCAGACTACTAATAGTGATCCGTGCGGGATGGATGGGTCGTCTGGGTGGCTGAAAGTGTAGTCAGGCGGGCCAGGTCAGCAACGTGCGGGCAGCGAGGTACCAGAGGAGCAGGCAGAGAATGGCCGAGGTCACAAGCCGGGTTCAGTAACTAGCGGACAGCTCGGTACAAGGGTCAGGCAGAAGGATGGTCAGGCAAGCCAAGGGTTAAGCAGGATACAATCAGAGTCAGGTACAATACAGAGGTCGGCAACGGAGTAACACAGGATCAGGTACAGGAACACAGGAACAAAAGACCAAACGGCAATCTGACATACCTCTATCCTTGTTTAAATAGCCCGCCCTGCACTGTCATTGGTGCCAGGCACGCATCCATGACCGCGAGTGCGCAAGCGCGGCCATCATGATCGCCCGGGTCCCGCTGCCCGCTGACTGGAATGCATCGGTGTCCTGCGCATGCGCCGCCCAGCGTATCGCGGCAGGGACACCGATCCCTGACAATTACTGTCCAAAAAATTATTGTCATATTCTCAATGACTCCGAATAATGCCACCACAATCAGCAATAGGAATAAGTGAGGTGACGAAACGCGTCAAAGGGAAGTGACGTCAAGACGTATTGAGCAACCGGAAGTTGCTGGATGGCCATCTTGGATCCTGGAAATTCCACTCAGAGACGCAGGAGGACTGCTCTCAAGGATCTATGGAGGGTCTGTTCTTATTTTTAATATGATGTGACATTTATGCAATAAAATTTATGTGGTATTGAAGAGCTTCTTATTGCTGATTGTGGTGGCATTATCCGGAGTCATTGAGAATTTTACATGAACTTTACCAGCATAACTTGTTCAGCTTTGGAGGGAATCTATATAGGAATGGAGGAGGAATTTTCCACTTGCTGAGTTTGAAAAGTTTGGATTGGGATTTATATGCTTGTTATATCCATGTTCTGGTAAGCGTGTTTTATCCTCACACTTAGAAGTGGACACGTGTTCACATGGTTTACACACGGCATGAAAGTGTTTATAGCGGTATGCACAGCTCACATTATACTCACCTGCATGAGTCACCACGTGTGGTTTAGTGTGATTCACATGCGTTTGCAGTGATGTTGATATAACTTTATGCTTTTTATGGTATCACACTATGTGAGTTTCTCTCTTTTTTGAGGTTCGATCTCCATAATCACTGGATCTACATCCTGCTGGAAGTCTTTTTGCGGACTGTCTTTCTGGAGGACTCTTGTTTATTTATTTGATTATATTTTTTTCTTATCGCGGACAATATAATTTTTTGGACAGTAATATTTATTCATTTATTAGTGTTATTTACTATATTAGCACTTTATATATATATATTTTGTTGATACACTTTTTGGGGTGAAAAGTGTTTAGGTGCAATTGGGGAATTATTTAAAGGGAACACCGTTCATTTCTGTTATTTAGTGTTAGTACTTTGCAGAGACAGGGTTCAGGAAAATCATTGTCTTCTTACACTTCAAAAACTGGAAAACCGTTCTCTGTATCGCAATTAGCTGAATTAACAGTGTGTCAGATTCAACTTCTGTGTCTTATTGAAGAGTTAAGCTGCCTATGGATGGTGCTAAGTCAACAGGTGACCATGCTGTCCAGACAGACTGGGGTTTATTTACTAAAGCTGGAGAGTCCAAAATCAGACTCACTTCTAGCATAAAACCAATCAGCTTCTAACCTCAGCTTGTTCAATGAAGCTTTGGCAATGAAACCTGGAAGCTGATTGGTTTCTATGCAGAAGGGAGTCTGATTTTGGACTCTCCAGCTTTAGTAAATAAACCCCACTGGGTCTAATGAAATATTTCAATGCATAAAGTGCATTTGAAACAGAACACTTCTTGATCATTCCCATTACATCAGGAGTCTCCAATCTTTTCAGTACGAGGGCCACATTGTGGACTTTAGAAATAATCATCCTCTGAAAAAAAATACGTTTTAATATGCAATTCTCCCTCAGGGGTGGACTGACAACTCATGGGGCCCCCCGGGCAATTGGGGATCACGGGGCCCCTGTGTCCTTGCCCACACTCAAAACACATTCAAAAAAGCCTATAAAAGGTACCAGGGGCATTTTATGGGGCCCCCTTCTGACCCCGGGCCCTCGGGCAGTGACCGAATGCTCGAATGGTCAGTCCGCCACTGGTCTCCCCTTACATCAGAGTTCCCCCTTAGACCCAGGATGGCCCAATACAGTCCCCCCTTAGATCCAGGAGAGCTCATCAGATTCCCCCCAGGATCCAGGAGGGCCCAACAGGTGGGCACATCAGAGGCCCCTTTTATCCAGGAGGCCCCATGAGAGCCCATCCTTAGATCCAGGAGGCCCCACGAGAGTCCCCCCGTTAGATCCAGGAGGTCCAGTAAGAGTTGTCCCTTAGATCCAAGGGGGAAAATCAGAGTCCCCAGTTAGATCCAGGAGGCCCCAGGAGAGCCCCCCCCCCCCTTTGTTCCAGGAGGCCTCATGATAGCTCACCCTTAGATCAGGAGGCCCCAATAAAGTCACACTATTATCTGGGAGGTCTGATTAGAGTTCCCCCTTACATCCAGGAGGCCCCATGAGAGCCACCTCTAGATCCAGGAGGGCCCATCAAAGACCCCCTTACATCCACGAGGACTTGACAGGGGGACTAGGGTAGGTTCATGGATGTGCCAGCCTCTATGTTGCGAAATACAGACCACAGCCAACCAGCTAGGGTATTTTCACATGCAGTTACTGAGGGCTGGATACAATCTTGTAGTGGGCCATAGTTTGGAGACCCCTGAAAGTCAGAGCACATAATCTGCATACTTGTTCAATGCTCAATAAGTCAAAAACATTGCACTTGGTAGCCAAGGTTCTAGTATTTTCAAAAAGAGTAATCAGCAACAGGGGCGGACTGACCATTTGGAAACTCGGGCACTGCCTGAGGGCCCAGGGTCAGTAGGGGGCCCCATAAGATGCCTCTGGTACCTTTTTCATAGGTTTGGGCAAGGACACAGGGGCCCCATGATCCCCTTTTGCCCAGGGACTCCATAAGTTGTCAGTCCGCCCCTGGTCAGCAATGGTGTCCTCCATTCTTAGTATACGGTTGTGTTCAAAATAATAGCAGTGTGTTGAAAAAAGTGAATAAAGCTGAAAATCCTTCTAATAGCTTTTATTTCCATCCACACAAATGCATTGGGAACACGACACATTCTATTCCAAATCAAAACATGAAGAAAAATAGATCAAATTTGTGTTGTTCCTCTAAAAAATTTAAGAAAAGTGAATATTAGACGGTTCAAAAAAATCGCAGTGTTTGTATTCTTCTTTACAAACTCAAACATTCACTATATAAACTGAAAAATGTTTGAAGATTTTGCTTTCCTTTGAATGACTTCATGAATATTTGGTTGTAGTCGCACTGTTTCTGAGAACTGCTGTACATCTGTGTTGCATGGAGTCACCCAACTTCTGGCCCCTGTGATCAGGTATTCCAGCCCAGGATGATTGGACCACATTCCACAGTTCTTCTCTATTTCTTGGTTTTGCCTCAGAAACTGCATTTTTGATGTCACCCCACAAGTTTTCTATTGGATTAAGATCCAGGGATTGGGCTGGCCACTCCATAACGTCAATCTTGTTGGTCTGGAACCAAGATGTTGCACGTTTACTGGTGTGTTTGGGGTCGTTGTCTTGTTGGAACACCCATTTCAAGGGCATTTCCTCTTCAGCATAAGGCAGCATGACCTCTTCAAGTATTCTGATGTATTCAAACTGATCCATGATCCCTGGTATGTGATAAATAGGCCCAACACCGTAGTATGAGAAACATCCCCATATCATGATGCTTGCACCACCATGCTTCACTGTCTTCACAGTGTACTGTGGCTTCAATTCAGTGTTTGGGGGTTGTCTGACAAACTGTCTCCGGCCAGTAGACCCAAAAGGAACAATCTTACTTTCATCAGTCCACAAAATGTTGCGCCATTTCTCTTTAGGCCAGTCAATGTGCTCTTTGGCAAATTGTAACCTCTTCAGCACGTCTTTTTTCCAACAAAAACCAGTCAAGACATTTTTCAGGAAAACGTACGACCATCTGTCCCCCAACTGAAGCTCCGCAGAGGATGGGTGATGCAACAAGACAATGATCCAAAGCATACAAGTAATTCAACAAAACAATGGCTGCAACAGCACAGAATACGCCTTCTGGAGTGGCCCAGTCAGAGTCCTGAGCTCAACCCGATTGAAATGCTGTGGCATGACCTTAAGAGAGCGATTCACACCAGACATCCCAAGAATATTGCTACACTGAAACAGTTTTGTGAAGAGGGGTGGTCCAAAATGACTCCAGATCGTTGTGCAGGTCTGATCTGCAACTACAGGAAACATTTGGATGAGGTTATTGCTGCCAAAGGAGGGTCAACCAGTTATATAGTCCAAAGATTCACATACTTTTTCCTCCCTGCACTGTGAATGTTTACATGTTATGTGCAATTAAACCATGGCAACATCTAATGTTTGTGTAGTATTATGTTCAGCAGACTGTGTTCTTCTATTGTTGTGACTTAGATGACGTTCAGAGCACATTTTATGTACAATTCATGCAAAACTCCACGTAATCCAAAGGGGTTCACATACTTTTTCTTGCAACTGTATGTCTCTCCTGCAATAAAGAGCCTATCTGCTCACAGTTTTTATTTAGACACTTCCGATTATATGTAATAAAGTATATTGCAGCCTACCAGTGCGTGTGGCGGCTGCATTAGTTTTATTTTTTTTCAGGCTTCTTTTCCTTTATTTTAATCTAGTAATCCTGCCAGTAACACACATCCTGTCCGAGAGTGAACACTGATTCACTGATGTACCTGTGGAGAAGCAGTGTTGTCACCCTAAGTATCTGATTTGGGTTACAAAACTCCTCCTGCTCTCCTTATCTCCATAACATAATAATACATTTTTGTAAGATTACTGTTGTCAGGTGATAACATGATAGTATTACTTATGTGCAAGTCATTACCCCTCATGGCTGGAGGCCAAATTACTTCATAGGGCCCCACTCTGGAAGGATGACGTCTTTTCACTTTCCAGTGATACCTGTCCCCGCACTACAGAGTCATTTTGAGGAAAATTGTGTTGAACATTAATTTTCCTCCACCAGCTCCTTTCACATGTTACACTTTACTTGCTTCAGGCCAAATACCTGTGGTCCAGGAATGGTCCCCAGGAGGGTTCTGTTATGCAGTGGGCGCTAACGTAGGGAACCTGCCACTTAGAAAGATACATTATACACCCACCAATCCACCCTTCTGACAGAAACTCCATCACCAGCCCCCACCGTCTCCTCTCTTGAGCTGATTGCTACTCCTTCCCTTTCTTTCTTACTCTCCATCACCGCGAAGGTTGATGTGAAGGTTCAAATTGTTCCCCCGTTCCCATTCACTATAGGAGCACACTTGTAATATTTTTTTCACAGTGAATCAAACCAGTCATTGTTACTAAATCAGAACTCTCTTTACTTGAATAAAAAGGAACATGAGTAACAGTTCCTTACATCTCCACATAACAGTTCTCCAATAGTTACATGGGCAATGAAACAGGTGAGCAAACATGATGGTACACCTTCTCTTCTTTTGTGCATTATGCTGGACTATGCTGTGGTGCTCATAACTTTAGTTTTTAGTAGTTTCCAACTGGTAGTGACATGGGTTGGACAATACAGTCCCATTTTAGGTTCCTGCCAAGGGATAAACCAACTTAGGTGCAACTCTACATCCCATCTTACATGGTCCTTCCAACTCCAAAGACCAGCATAAAACCACCCACTGGCACATCCCTATTTTGTTTATATATCCCCCCTATAGGAAGCACCATGGACCAAACATAGACACATCACAGCACATTATCCTCCGAGTCACCGGACATTAAACCTTAAAGTGAAGATCACAAGTAACGTTGCAGCATAGGCAGAGTGATCAGAAAGTTACAAGCTCACTGGATTTCTGGAAGGTTTGCATTTGTTGATCAAATATAACAAAACACTCGTGATTGTATATTTAATGATATATTAGCTTTTTTTTGGCTGCAATTAAAGAGATGCCTGTAGCAAAATGAAGAAAAAAGAAAATAGCGCAGGGCAGACATGACTAGGTTAAGAGGGGGGTAGTAAAGACAGGAAAGGGTTAAAAGAAAAAGGTGGGAGTTAGAATATGGGCAATACCTGATTGGTGACTGGGAGGTGCAGGGTGGGGTCTTTGACACCTTTGGGTGTGGATGGAGAGGGTGGTCAGTTCAGTGGAGGAGACAGCAGTGAGCAAGCTTCCCTCCCTCCCTCCCTTGGGGTTGTGTGGGTGTTTTGTCAATTCCCGGGTTTTTTGTTCTGGTTCCGGGGGCAGTTGTTGGTCTTTGGAGGCGACACTTATTTTGAAGCTAAAGATAATGGTTTGGGACCAGGGGCGGACTGACCATTTGGAAACTGCCCGAGGGCCCAGGGTCAGTAAGGGGCCCCATGAGATGCCCCTGGTACCTTTTTCATAGGCTTTTTTGAGTTTGGGCAAGGACACAGGGGCCCCATGATCCCCTATTGCCCGGGGGCCCCATGAGTTGTCAGTCCGCCCCTGTTTGGGACCCATCAGTGGTATGGTGTGCCCGGGTGCATTCCGGTTAACCGAGGTTTAACAGGAAGGTGGTGGTTCTGCACTGCAGATGGTATGTTTTTGTCTCCGAGCTGGTGCGTTGCAGTTGGCGGCCTAGTTATAGCGTAGGTTCCGCAGGAGGATATCAGTTTTGGTTTGGTGCCTTTCGAAGACCAACAACTTCTCCAGTATGTTTCTGTTTTAAGAAATGTTTTGTGTATTGAAGTTGAAGTGTTAATAAAAGGCCGTGTTGGCCATTTTACTCCAATCAGTGTTATGTTTTTCTTTAATGGTATGTTAAAAGGGGTATGTGAGAGTGGTGGTGTGTAAGGGGTCTTGACTAGCCTATCTCTTGTGCACTAGTCATGTCTTCTCTTGTAGCTCCTCTTTGATTGCATAGCTCCATTTAAAGAATGCCCCAAATGTCAATCCTCCTGCTGCCTCATCCATTCACCATGTAGATGGGAGACATACAAAGAATCAGGGTGAATGAACACGAAGAAAGCCTAGAGAATTCCAAAGAGTACATTTAATTACCTTTGGTTTCTGTGCAGTATATGAAAGCAGAATGCCGATACATCAAGGTAATACTACTCACCCCCTGCTGCTGTGTTCATATGTAATTGACTTCCCATTATTAAATCCATCTCAGGCGTTGTGCATGTTTAATTAAAATGGCATGAAGAGGAATACGATTCCTAATACCATTCCCAAGTGGCATTTAAGGCTCATTAGACATAGAAAGTTAACGGTAATATTGAGATTTTTGTATTTCATGTTCTTTTGACTCTCTACGGATTTATTTATAGAACCGGATCAATAATGAGAACATTCCAGGTGTGAGATGTAGGCTGTTTACTTGTCATACTGCAGTCATATACTGGACACCGAGGTTCCATCAACTGTCATTATCAAGCAGCTGGAAGACATACAGAAAGAAGGCAACTTGAGATACCAGCTTTCTATCTCAGTAAAGCAGAACTTCACCCTAAAAGGAGAAGTTCTCCTTTATACACTCCTCCCTCTCCTCTTCTTTTCTTGTTTTTGGAGTTTTTTTTTTGGGGGGAGAGGGCTGGTTCCTGGTTTTGCAAGGTACCTGCTACCACTGCGCTCTGATCGCCTAGGCGAAGCCAAAGCCCCTGAATTTCTCCCGTTCCCCCCACCCACAATCTTCTGGGACATATCATGGGTCTCAGGAGACTTTGGGACAATTCAAAAGGTGTAGCGTGACTCAGGCTCTGTAGCTGCAGGGCTCCCACAATTAATATGCCAGCGCGGAGGACCCGAAGACAGGTGAAGACCAGACCATACTGAGGACTGCACAGGATCCCTAGACAGGTACAGTAAGTGTTCTTTAACTAAAAGTCAGCAGCTACAGTACTGTCTCACTTTGAATGCCAATTACTCACCACTGTACCCAAAATTAATTTTTGAGACACAGAGAGCTATCTTTTGTTGGTATTTAATGACCACTGGGGTTTTCAGGGTATATTATTTACTCTGTGAGAAAGGTATGGTCTGCAAACTATGGTATATATGTTTGAAAATTGATCAACCCTGATGTACCGAAGACCTATCTCATTTCTTGAGGCCCTAAAATGCCAGAACAGTGCAAATACCCCCAAAATAACTTCTTTTTGGAAAGTAGACAGCCAAAGGTATTTAGTAAGAGGTATGGTTTGAAGTTGTAGCTTTTTTGTCACATTGTGTTGGAAAATGAAGAAATTAAATTAAAAAAAATGTTTTTCACAATTTTTTTCTCACATACTGTCACCAGAGCAGCACAGTGTCATCATATGACTTTCAATAAAGTGCTTATGAAGCCACATGACCCGGCGGCGTAACGCGTAGGGGAGGGGCTCCGACGTCACCACGTTTGTCACGGCGAGTATCGGAAGTGTGCAGAGTACATACAAAGGCTTATACCTAACTAAAAAGGCACAATTTATTTTTGAATAATGTGAGTGGTATTATACAGCTTATACTAATAAAATACTCAAAAGGATAAGGCACAATGTTTTTTCTTCTTTTCTGATATCACTTATGTGGAGTACTGGAGCGGACATGAGGAATTAGACCCCTGGAGGTGAGAAGGAGGAATGCAGCCATCCATAACCAGTACAGGGATCAGTGCATTGGAGAGACACCAGGTGGAAAAATTTGAATATTACAACGCTATATCATCTGAGAAGAATTTCTGGCGCAGGAGCATTTCATCTGTCCATATAGGACAAAAAGCTATTTTAGCCTAAATATCAATTAGGCTAAAAAGGAGGTGAGCGCATAGAGTATTATTGATCCATTCACTGAAGCAGATCTTTTTGAACTAATATTCAAAGAGGACTCTTTATATATTTATGGACACATTTTTATGTGAATTTCCTGTTATATTGGTTTTATATGAATTTCCCATTATATTGATTTTTTCACTGTTGATTCACTTTTTCACTTTTGATGATTTTTTGATATATTTTAATTAGTATCTGAGCTTTATTTTGATATATCACGCACTTAAAGATATATTTTAATCACATTTATATTTATTCAATTTAATGATTCTAGAATACATGGGTAATGTGTAAATATTATTATTAACCACTTGAGCTCCTGAGGATTTACCCCCCTTAATGACCAGGCCTCTTTTTGCTACTCGGCGCTGCACTAATTCAACTGATAATTGCGCGGTCATGCAATGCTGCACCCAAATGAAATTTAGGTCCTTTTTTTCACACAAATAGAGCTTTCTTTCGGTGGTATTTGATCACCTGTGCACTTTATTTGTCACGCTATAAACAAAAAAAGGCCAAAAATATTTAAGAAAAACTATATTTTTTACTTTCAGCTATAAAAAATATATAGTAAACTCAAAGTTAGTTATAAATTTAGGCCAAAATGTATTCTGCTCCATGTTTTTGGTAAAAAAAAAATCCCAATAAGTGTATATTGATTGCTTTGTGTGAAAGTTATAGCGTCTACAAACAATGGTATAGATCAGCAATGGGCAAACTACGGCCCGGCGGACATTTTAATCCGGCCCGCGGAGCTAGGCTCCCGCTAGGCTCCTCTCACAGTCCGCCGTGTAGCATAAAAATCTGTCTCCTATGAGGATCTGTCCCCCTCGACGTATCTGCGCATGTGCCGGAGATCGCCGATCGGCTGCTAACGCCTGAAAAACTGCGCAGATACGTTGAGGGGGACAGATCCTCATAGGAGACAGATTTTCATGCTACACCGGAACGGGCGCGGGAACACGACGAGAGGAACGCGCGGAGCAAAGGTAAGTGAATTGACACAGGGGGGACTTGGGGACTTAATATGGGGGATGAATTACTATATGGGGGATGAATTACTATATGGGGGATGAATTACTATGTGGGGGATGAATTACTATGTGGGGGATGAATTACTATATGGGGGATGAATTACTATGTGGGGGATGAATTACTATGGGGGATGAATTTTACTATATGGGGGATGAATTACTATGGGGGATGAATTACTATATGGGGGATGAATTACTATAGGGGGATGAATTACTATGTAGGGGGGATGAATTACTATGTGGGGGGATGAATTACTATATGGGGGATGAATTACTATATGGGGGATAAATTACTATGGGGGATGAATTACTATATGGGGGATGAATTACTATGGGGATGAATTACTATATGGGGGATGAATTACTATATGGGGGATGAATTACTATGGGGGATGAATTACTATGGGGGATGAATTACTATATGGGGGATGAATTACTATATGGGGATGAATTACTATATGGGGGATGAATTACTATGGGGGATGAATTACTATATGGGGGATGAATTACTATATGGGGGATGAATTACTATGGGGGATGAATTACTATATGGGGGATGAATTACTATATGGGGGATGAATTACTATATGGGGGATGAATTACTATGGGGGATGAATTACTATATGGGGGATGAATTTACATGGGGGATGAATTACTATGGGGGATGAATTACTATATGGGGGATGAATTACTATGGGGGATGAATTACTATATGGGGGATGAATTACTATGGGGGATAATTACTATGGGGGATGAATTACTATGGGGGATGAATTACTATATGGGGGATGAATTACTATGGGGGATGAATTACTATGGGGGATGAATTACTATATGGGGGATGAATTACTATGGGGGATGAATTACTGTATGGGGGATGAATTACTATATGGGGGATGAATTACTATGGGGGATGAATTACTATATGGGGGATGAATTTACATGGGGGATGAATTAGTATGGGGGATGAATTACTATAGGGGGGATGAATTACTATGGGGGATGAATTACTATATGGGGGATGAATTACTATATGGGGGATGAATTACTACTTTCACTCAAATATGGGGGATGAATTACTATGGGGGATGAATTACTATATGGGGGATGAATTACTATGGGGGATGAATTACTATGGGGGATGAATTACTATATGGGGGGTGAATTACTATGGGGGATGAATTACTATATGGGGGATGAATTACTATGGGGGATGAATTATTATATGGGGGATGAATTACTATGCTTACTATGGGGGAATATTACTATACTTACTATGGATGACACATACACATCATTCATCTACTCTTGGTCCGGCCCCCGGGTCCAATATATGAACCCATTGCGGCCCTCAAGTCAAAAAGTTTGCCCACCCCTGGTATAGATACTGCAATTTATGCCATTTTTTTTGCTATACAGCGCTGCGCTAGTTTAAACGGACAATTGCGCGGTCATGCAATACGGTACATAAATGAAATTTACATCCTTTTTTTCCCTACAAATTGAGCTTTCTTTCGGTGGTATTTGAACGCCTGTGCGGTTTTTATTTTTTGAGCTATAAAAAAAAAGGCTGACAATTTTTGAGGAAAAAAAACAGTATTTTGGACTTTTTGCTATAAAACATGTCCAGTAAAAAAAAAATT